GGGTGTGAGGCCGGTCCTACACAGCGGGACCAGCGGCACCTCTGCCCCGGCACCCCCTGAGCAGAGCAGGGCCCATCTCCCATCCTGAGCCCACTGCATCCCGGGGAATGAGCGGAGCTGCAGAGCCGCGGGCAGGAGGAGCTGCTCCAGCATAGGTGCTGTCCTGCTCCACCCCTGTCAGGTGAGACCTGATGCTTTCCTCCCTCTTCCCCCGAGATCTGTGCAACTCACAGTCTCCAATGGCAAAATCTGTTAGTAAAATTCTAGTTGAAATGTTTAATCTGTGTTTCCAAATCACGGAACATTGTGAGATAGAAGGGACCCACAAGGATCACGAAGTTGAGCTCTAAGTGAATGGCCCATCCAGTGACTGAACCCACAACCTTTAGTGTTTTCAGCACCCTGCTCAAAACAGCTGAACTGATCTCTGGGTCATCTGGAATTCCAGGCTGGAATTGGAACTGGAAGTACCAACAAGGTAATTCCTATGCCAATGCAGCTCTTTTTATGCTAATGCTGCTTTAAACACGAGCCCTTGGAATGTCTGTGGGGCAGAGCTCCATGGCTGGCACTGGACCATGGAGCAACACAGGTGAACTGCTGTGTGACAGCACAAAACTCTTCCAATCACCCTGATTTCCTGCCCTTTCCAGGATTTCTCTAATAACTGAAGGTGCTCATGCCATGTCTTTTTCCAGGGAGAAATGAGCAAGACAAGTCCTGAGGGTTCCCTTGGTCCGTGGCAGAATTCTTCTGGTGAGTATTCACCTGTGGATGTAATGCTTCATGCAGAGCTGGAAGCTGGAACTCCAACAGGTTTTGGTGCAGTGTTCCCACTCATCTGCTGTCAGCTGGGAAGGGAAATGGAGTCAGACATACCAACTGGTCCCTGCTACCCAGCTGTGGCTGCCCCATCCCTGGAAATGTCCCAGGCCAGGTTGGACAGTGCTTAGAGCAACCTGGGATAGCGAAAAATGTCTCTGCCCCTGGCTGGGGAGTTGGAATGGGATGAGCTTTAAGGTCCTTTCCAACCCCCTCCCTTCCATGGTTGTACTGTCACCACCCCATCAGATTCTAGTCTGGAAGTGTGACACTTGGGAACAATCACACACCCAGATTTTTTAAGCTTGGGCCCCAAAATAACAAACTGCTGTCAAAAAAGGAAGGCCAGGAATTCAAAATCATTCCCTATCCCTATTTTTTTTTTTGTAGTTTTCCCATTTCCCCCTGGTCACCTCCACCACAGGGCTTGGAGCACTGGGAGCAGCCCTTTAGTGCCCACTTAAAGGTGTCTGAAGTGCCTGGCCCTAATTCCAGTTGGGAATGTCTTAGCTACCACTCCTCCTTCCTCTCCCTCACACCCCACACTGACAGCAGGGACAGCTCAGATTGAATGACTGACTGTGTTTGGAATTCCTTCTTTAAAATGCAGCACTGGAATATCTGGGATACCAGGCGTGTCCCTGGAAGCCACAGGTCAGAGGCAGAGACAGATGAACAATCCTGAACTGGTTTTCAGGGGATGCATCCCCAGCCTGTGGGGACTGCAAAGCTGCTCCTTCCACTTGGGACAGCCAGGAAAAACATCCCCACCATGGATTTCTGACAGGAAAAACCTCACAGCTCCAGGATACTTGGCTTCTCCCAAATCCAGCCAGCATTCCAAGGAACAAACAAGGGGACAGATCACCTCAGGGTGCACACCACTATTTTTAATAATAACACCAAAACCAGGGAGAATTCACACTCACCTTTTCTCCTGGGCACAGCTCTCCAGAGCCTCTCAGTCCTTGCCTTCCATGCCTGCTCCTTTTCCAAGACCTCTGGAGCCAGTTCAGGGCAGGCAGTGGCCACCACAGCCCTGGCAGTGCTGCTGGGTGATCCCAGCCCCTCTCTGAGGGCTGCAGCTGCCCATGTCCCTGCTCAGGGATGTGCCACTGCCACCAGCTGTGCTGCCACACCACAGAGGCTTCCAAACCACAGGCAGGCACAGGCTGTGTTTGTTTAAAATCAGCCTCCTGGAGAAGAAAAGCTGTCCTTACCTCAGGATTTGCCAGGAAAAGGAGCTGTGAGATCTGCAGGTAAACACAACAGAGCTGTGCCCTCAGCTGCAGGCAGGGCTCTGTTCCAAACCCCCACAGCAAAAAGCCAGAAGGATATCAGGGCACTGCAGCAGGGCTCTCAGGACTGGGATTGGGACACTATGGCAGAGCTCTGGCCTGGGTTTGAGGCCTCTGGAGTGTGAGAGGCAGCAGAACCCGAGTCACAGCCAGCCCCAGCTCCAGACTGGCATAGTCATTGCCAAGTGCTGGGAATTCAGTGCTTGGCTGCTCAAATTCCCCCTGAGGTCAGAGAGGAGATCCCACAAGCAGGTTTTGGTACAACAGTGCTGATTTCTGGAACCTGAACACAAAACTTTCCCCCACAGGCAAGGGGCAGCTCTGGGCCAGCAGGGAGGCACAGTGAGTGTGCAGTGACCACCCAGCCCCAAATACAAAGGACATAAAAGCCCCCTCAAGCTCCAAAGACCACCAGAACCAGCAGCTGCAGAGACCAAGGTGAGCTGCAGTGCTAAGGCAGAGTAACATTTCTGTCCTTTGTTGTCCAAATTCTTGTTTAATGAACCACAGAACCATTAAGATGCAGGAAGTTTACAGATCTGCCCTTCCTGGAATGGGAATTTTGGAGCTGCTCAAGCACTTTCATTATTCCAGTGCATTCCAGTTCCTCACTCACACGCTGCAGTCACCTTTCATATAAAAATCTTCACACAAACACTGCTCTTCCCACAATACAAACACTTGAAAGATGCCTCTCAGGGTTTTTCTTCCCTCCAAAATAGTCTCTTGCTTTAGAGGAGAACAGGGCTTTTTAAGTACAGACCCAGCACTTGTTCATTCAAGTTCATTGATTGGCTTTTAAGTCATTTCTTCTTCTTCTGCTTTAGATCTTTAGTTTTCTTAAATTTCTTCTGTTGTTTGGGTCCTCGTGCTGTTTCTAGTTTTCTTTTTTTCTCACTGGAAAACAGGAACAAAACATCTGTTAAAAATGCACTGGCCTTGCCATCCAGCAGGGAAATCTTTGTTGTAATATAGGAGCGAGGGAGAAAATTTAAACTTGGTGCTAGAAAAAGCACAAAGAAGAGCCTGACTTAGATTTTATAGTGTCCTGACATTCTCTAACCCAGAAGATCTTGATTTTTAGCTCTTGTCTTTTAGCTCTTGTGTTTGCTTTTCAAAACTTTATCTGTCCTAAATGCGGTATCTGGAATTTAGAGTACCTAGAAGAGAAACTACTGATTGTTTTAAAACATTCAATTTTGTCCCTGCACTGGATTTTGATTCAAGTAAACACAACAGGAATTCCAAGCTCTGATCTTTTTAAGCAGCTGCTAAGAGTCTCTCCTTCCTGGAAGGCTTTTGGAAACTTACAGCTCCCAGCATTCATGGAAAAAACCATGAAAGGGTGGAACAGAGATCACATAATTACTTGAGCTGTCAGGCACTCCAGGAAGGGGAAATAAGTGAGCAGGGAAGTCTCACCTATAAATCCCCAAGGAAAAAAATGGGAAAATTACATGCTGGGCATGGCAGAAGAAAGAAGATGGATGAGAATTAAGGAATTGTAGAAATACAGACATTTTCCAGGCTCAAGCTCACTTTTGAAAGAATTCTTTCCTGAATTTGCATTTTCTCCACTGGCACCTCCAGGTGCTCCCACTCAGTGTTAGATCCCAAAGCAAATTGGGCACTCAGGTGGAATGAGTGACCCAAGGGAGGAACGGTCCCAGCTTCTGTGTGGGATCAGGATCAGATCATCAGCAACAGAGCCAGAATTAAACATGTTAATGAAGAGAGGACCAACCTTAGAGCAACAGAGGAACACTGGGTAGATGAGCTCACAGCTGCTCACACCCCAATTCCCTCAGGAAAACTGAGGATCTAGCCAGGACACTGAGTTCACTTTTAACCCTTAGGCTTCACTCTTTTGGAAAACATTTAACAAAGCCAGCAGGAAGAAGAGAGATCTCTGGAATATTTCAAGTTCCTTTACCTTTTCAGGCTGACGACGGAAGCGTTCTGTCCTGCCTTGCTCAGCACCTCGTTCCACTCCTCATCATCCCCCCTGATAATGTACCTGAGTGGGAAAGGGGAAGGAAAGGCAAGTCCAGTTGTTAGCTCAGAGGAAAACAACAGAAAAATGAGGTGTTTCTACTGTCAGGCACACACTACTCTGCAAACAAAGCCACTGTGCCAGCACCCAACCAAACTGGATTTGGGAAACACACACCAAATCAGGCTGGCAAAGCTGGCATGGGACAGCTTTCCTAAATCAGTCTGGGAAAAAGTGAAGAGCTGCAGCTTGCTTTTAAAAAGAGAAATTAAGACAAAAATTGCTACTCAAATAAGCTCATGTCCTTTGGCCCTTGTCTGGGTGTTCAAGCACCCTGGAAATGACACCCAGATTTAAAGAGGCAAAGCAGCTGTGTAGCACAATGGAGTGACTGCTCTCCATCTCAAGTTCTTGGAGGTTTGGAAGAGATAAGTCTTTGTCCACAGAGCTGAACAATGTTGGACAAAGCCCCACAAGTTTTCTACAACTTGCATTGAAAAGTATTCAAAATAGATTTTTGTGTCTCTCTCCTCATGGAGAACAAAAATCTGTTTCTGGCTGAGGATGAAAAAAACAGGAAACAGAGTCCAAAATGACAAAAAGGTATGCAGCACTATCAATGCTATAAAATAGAATTAATTTGAAAACATTCTGGTTGTATTATTTTCCTTATGTGACTGATTTACAAGTCACTTCAAATCACATCCATTCTTGTCCTTTCTCCAAACATGGCAACTAAAGGTTCAAAGAAGGTTATAATTCCTTCTGCCAGATTTACCAGAGACCAATTTAAAGCCAGGCCAGACAACTTCCCTGGGACATCAGCACAGTGTTTGTAAGACAAAAAGTGGGAGGGGAGAGGGAAGAGAGAGAATCAGTGGCATCTGTAACTCCTGTTGGTCCAGAAAGACAGAAGTCTGCTTAAGACACTGAAGTAAAAGCTTTGGTTTTAAGTAAAAGTCACTAAGACACTTTAGTAAAGCTCTGGTTGCTTGCCCTTTTTGTGTTGATTTGGGTTTTTTATGCTTTACCCACTGCTGACAATACACACTGGTTCTCATTTACTGATGGTCTACTGCACCTACAGCCTTGTGCACAAATCCCAGGAAGACCCAGCATTCCACCCAGGAAAAAACTGGATTTGAGACCCAGGCAGATGAATTCTTACTGTGTGAGGTCCATCTCCTTCAGCTTCATCACCTCCTGCTTGTGCTTTTCTTGGAATTCCTTTGCAGCCTCCTCCTGCAACAGGACAGCACAAGATGCTTTAGGTCCTGATGGCAACAATGACTTTGTAATGAGAAGAAAATACTTTTCCCCACAAATACATCCCCTAAACCAAATACCAGCTGGTCCTGAATAGCTTCTCTCTTTTATTTAATTTCACTTTTATGTTATTTGTACATACAGACTTGTAATTTTCTGTGAAAACCCAACACTGCAGCTTAAAGCACAACTCCAGCTGCACATAATGCAAACCTGTCAGGTTTTAACTCCCTTACAGTGCCAGATGTGGTGTGGAACCCTTTCCATCCAGGAAAATTTAATGTTTCTGCCCTCAGGTGAACACTCCTGAAGTGTTTACATATGAACCAAGAATAAAGTTTGTAATTACCAAATCATCATTTAAAGATTTCAGCGTTGGCTCCATCACAACATCCTTTGTTGCTGCCATCTGCTCCTCCACAGCTTTTTCCTGGACTGTGTTGAAGAGCTGAAAATGAAACAAGCCAGCACATGTAAGACTTGGTTTTTAAAACACCATTTATCACCTCTACAATGAACTCCTAAACCCAGACTTCAGGAGCTTTGTTATCCTAAACCTTAGAGAGAAAGAAAACCAGGAACCAGTTCCAAAACTTTACAATTATTTCAGTGGATTTCAAGTCTACCTCTAGATAACACTGGGAAATAATTTTATTTTTTTCCAAGGAAAGCTGAGATGCCACCAATGCTCTGAACAATGGCTCAGGCAACAAGGATTGTCAGCTCAGCATTTTGGTCAGGGCACTTCAACATGGAAAACTGTAAGATAAGCACTCTTATCTGGGAAATCACTACACAGAATCATTAAGTGGTTTGGGTTGGACGGGACCTTAAAGACCATTGAGTTCCAAACTTCCAACCATGGGCATTTAAATCACTGCCACACATTTTCCAGCTGGGATTTTCCCCGCTTGCCAAGTTTATGGTCAGTAAGTGGGGATGTGTTAAGGATGCCCAGCTCTGACCCAGCTCTCTCTTAGTGCCGTATTTTCTGTAAATTTTGGAGTGATGGTCCCACATGGCCAAGGCTTGTCCTGAGCTCCCACCTGCACCACTTTGCGGATGATCCTGTTGAAGAGCCCCATCAATTGACTGCTGGGCAGCTCCAGCTCCTTTTCCAGCTGGTCCAGAGATTTATGCTGCAGGCCAATCCCTAGGAAAAGGGCCTGACGAAGAGACAGGGATTTCAGCACAGAGCAAAGACAGACACACATCCCCAGCTCACTCCCCAAATCCACCCTGCCCACACACACCGACTGTGCAGCAGAGAGGGAGATGTCTCCCATCTGGCTGAGGAAGAACATCCTGGCAATGGTGGGCACCATGTCCATGATGAGGTGGTAGTCCACCATGTTGCGGGAGTACATCTCCAGCCTCTTCAGGTCGTACGGGATGAAG